AGCATTAGTTGCTTTTCTGTTGCTATTTCTGGTTCATGTACATGGTCGCAATCTTGTCGAGTATCGTGTCGATGGAGAGCAGCTCCTCGCTGAACTTCTGCATGGTCTGCGCGGGCACAATCCACTTGAGAAACTCCTCGACATTTAAGCGCAGCCTAGCCAAAGGCGTCAGCGTTGGGTCGTCGTGTGACGGACGCTGTGCCAGCTTCAGGGATGCGATGATAACGTTATCAATCAAACGCTTCTCGTAGCCCAGCTGACGCAGCTTCTGCGCTGAGCTAATCTTCTTTAACACAACGGCGATGTTGAAGCGTATGTTGGATAGTGTATGAGCATCTTCGGTCTGGCTATCGTTGAGCTCCCCCGTTGCTTTGCACTTGGCACAGTTCTCGGAATGCGCCTGCAGCTCCACTTTGATTTTGAAGAACTCATGGCAGCCAGGACACATGTATGGTTTCTGCTGCTTGTGTATCTTCTTCATGTGGTTCTTGAGATGCGCCAGCTGCGAGAAGGCCACCTCGTCCGTACATAGCTGGCAGCGAAACGGCTTTTCTCCCGTGTGCTTGCGAATGTGCAGCTTCAGCACGCTGGAGTGGGCGAACGTTTGATGACAGATCTGCAACAGATGCAACATTGATTCAATTAGAAGATACGTCTCCTGCCAGCCTTAGTCTCCCACTTACCCGACACTGATATGGCCGTTCCCCCGTATGCATTCGCATATGCACATTGTATTGCGACTTTTGGGTAAAATACGAATTGCAGACCTCGCAGACGTGCGTCTTAATCGCGGCGTGCTTCTGCATGTGCGTGGCCAGATCCTCATCTGGTTCGATGGTCTTATGGCATATTTCACATTCAAGTTGACTCAGCTTGTGGTGCTCCTGATTGATGTGGGCGCGCAGAGCCAATTCAGTGGCAAATTGGCTTTCGCAAATGGTGCATTTGTGCTCCATACCCTGCTCATGGCGCTCCATGTGCACACGCAGATTGGCATTGGTGGAAAAGCTGGCCGAGCACTTGGTGCAGTTGAATTGCTGGATGCTCATCTTGTGGTGGGACACCATATGCTGCTGGAGCTATCGTGGACAATCAGAGCTATCAGTTTCAATATGAGATAATTGCAAATTTATTTCGGTACTCACTTGGCCGCCTCGTGCGAAGCGCTTCTCGCACAGCGCACACGGATATGGCTTCTCACCCGAATGCAGACGCATGTGCAGCTTAAGGCGCTCCTTGAGGGCAAACGACTTCGGGCACTGCGTGCAGGCGAACTGCTTCTTGTGCTCGTGGGCGGTGGTTATGTGGTTCTTAAGATTCACCGCCTGGCGATAGCACTTGCCGCATTCGGTGCATTTGTGGGGCCGCTCATCGGAGTGGATGAGCATGTGACGTTGCAAGTCGGTCTTGCCTCCGAACTCCTTAGAGCAGTGACTGCACACGTGTTGCTTGCGCTTGGAGGACTCTGTCTTGCGTGGTGATTTCTTCGGCTCTGGTTGAATGTAGTCTGCATCTGTATCTGTTGAGTCCTGCTCTGCCTCCTGCTCGCCATCCACGTACAAATCTTGCAGGCTGCTGTTGAGGCTGCTCTTGCGCCGCTTAATGGCCGTCGCAGCGGGCGAGGATTCACGCGCCGCCGGCGGCGATGACAGCGAAATACCGCTATCCGTGAGCAGAGAGACGGCATCCTCTTTCGAGAGGCTGCGACGGCTGCGTACCATGCTGAGTTAGTTTTATGTCTATTACAGAGGTTCCTGCACCCGGCACCAGATGCTAATTTACTTGGGTAAGGGGTTAATGTTTCTACGATAGGGTTTTGCTTTGATTTTTCTTTATTATTATTTTTTTTTTTTTAGCTAGAAAAGAAGATGCCCAAACACCTTGGATTGTTATAGCGATTTAGTTAAATTTTCGCTGCAAGAAAAAGTTAAGAGCTCTTGTTAATTATTTAGCTTGCAATGCCACGTTCTAAACAACTCACAAAACACAAAACAATGAAAACAACAATAAGAATTTCAGCTGTGTCCACCGAACTTCAAAAACTGTCGCTGACGATAAGAATTGTATCGAGGGGAGGCGCAGAACGAGGCATATGACGAATTACACAGAGAGAAAAGTACCAGGTGATTGTAACCACAATAACTATATATGCTTTAGGCAACTGAATTCTTATTAAGAAATATTTGCCAAATTAATGTTGACTATCTCACGTTCAGTCACATAATAAATACTAGTACTCGACTCGAGTACAGTTTCATTTTTTTTTTTTAGAGTGTAGTAGTACTTTATTTATTTTGATCACTTTATCAGCTAGAATTTCCAGGTAGTATATATAGACGACATATGTGGAAACTCATGTGCGTTGCACTCAAAAGTTGTTTAGTTTGTTTTCTCAATCTTTTGTTTGGAATGCGAGAGAGCGAGCGCGCCGCCAAGCTAAAACACTGATAAGCGCGCGACAAAGGCAATAACTGATAAGGCGTAGTCTGATCAGATAAGAGTCAACTTATACAACTAACTGATGGTAAGGTTTTCACTAAGCAATTGCTGCTGTTCTTTATTCTGCTGCTGCTGCACTCGTTGCTGCTTGAAACTTCCAATGAAATGGCATATTAAACCAGGAAAACTGCATGCAGAACAAAGAACTGTGAAAATCAAGAATAGACGATGACGACGGTGACGACCCTGGGAACAGTTAGCTCGAAATGCTCACTACATAAACATCTGGCGAACAGATTGCCCACACACACATACACATGCACGTATACACTAAGAGGAGATTTACAGACCTTTGGCGACGCTTCATTGACATCGACACACACACAAAACAAGAGCAACAAATTTAAGGGGCGGCGGCGCGCGCCAAACTTACTGTGCTTAGTTTCTATGAAGCTATTGACGGCAATCGAGAACAGCATTGAAGCATGATGTGCCCAAGTGCAGGGACAGGGCCACAGTTCACACAGCTGCACGTTACGCAAATGAAGCGTAAAACGAAAATGAAAACAGTGCTGAAAAGCGAATTGGAAGCGCGAACCGAACCCTAAAAACAAAAAACACACACACGCACACTCTCAAAGAGCTTTAACTGTAACTATTGCAGCTCTGCTTGCGCCCGCGTCGCCCGTGAAGCGACGCCGCTGTCTGGCTGCCTGCCCGCACGGTAGCCAGCGATTCATTAAATTGAAAGAGAACGTTGAAAAAAGCACGAACGACAGCGAAACTCACAAAAGGTGTGCGGCTCAAAGAATACAAAAACAGCAGTTTTGTAATGCTAAATAGGCAAATGGGGAAGCGACAACGACGCAGACGACGATGGCGATGACAGCGACGGCCGCAGCAGCAGCAGCAATCACAGGCAGCGCAGTTGCAGAGCGCTGGGCGTGCGTCTTGCTGTGGGGTCAAACGTTGAAGTCTTCTGTTTGTGTCGAGCAGAACAAACAGTACGAAAGAAGAACAAAAACTACTGCAAGAATTTTGTTAGTTACTACAAATTACCGACACCAATGAGAACTAATTGAGTACATTCCTTATATACATACATAATTAAGTACCAGCACCACAACAAATTCACATAATTAAGAAAATCAGAACAAACTTGAAAAGAACTTACCCGCAGTGGAGTGCGAATTATTAATAAAGAACGGCAGCGAAACAAAACTTACAATTGACTGTAGCACGCACACAGGAACATACGCAAACAAGCACACAAAGCACCAGGCACACTTAAAGGCTACATTTTATGTATTGTTTGTTGAAACTTTATTGCGTTTGCCAAACAAACGCCCATTTCTACTGCACATTGCACTTTTCCTTTACCTTCAGACACCAGAGCCATAGACACAAATATACTGCAAGCCCATCGCAAATCTCAGCTAAATTCTGAGTTTATTTCACATCTTATTTCTTATGCTGCACAGCCAAAATCCACCGTTTTGTTTAGTAAAATGTAATTCTTTTCTGCACCCGCTGTGTAATGTTTACTTCTAATTATGAAGATGGAACTAGTTCAATTCGATAATATCGATAGTCAATTGTTTTGAGCTGCAATACGATATTTAGACTTGAGCATTTCATCGTTAGTTGCTTATGGTAACACTGCATTTAACATTCAAAGCATTAGAGAAAAATTATTTAATTTACAAAAATAGTGTGAATTATACAATGTTCAAAACGCCAGTCGCTTCATTAGCAAATACATGTGCTGGTCTACTTCGAATCCGTGCAAATTGTTGGCATCTCCTTGCAGACGCATCAGTAGACCACCAAACGAAACATATGCCGACAGCCGTGATGACTCGTTGTGCGCCTCGTCACCCTCAATGCGATAGATCTTTCCGTACATGACGTACTCAAAGCTATCCGCTCGCGTACCTTCATGCTCCATAGGATTATATTCGCCACTGTCGGGACAACCATCTTCACGCAATGTTGTGGCCAGCACCAGACGGAATTTGTCTCCCAGTTCCATGGGATACAGCCATGAATTTATATCCAGGATGAGGTCCATTTTAAATGATTCAGACTCGCAGTGCAGGCGGGAAACACGGTCAAATTTTTTTCCCTCAGGATCCATGTCCTTGACGTTGAATATGTCCTCGAATAACACACCAGCCATTTTGCCTAGGAAACTGTTTATGAGTTGAGCTATTCCACTTGTGGCCGCCAAATATTTACCTTATGTTAAAATCCAAAATTTCAATGCAGTACAATCCAGTTAGCAGTATCTACTACTGGCAGTCAATTATTTGTTGCTATTATATATATTTGTTTATTTTGTTGCTATATTTTTATTAAAAATACAGCGTTGTCGGCAATTCGGTTTAGCGTGCTATAGGGATGGATACGTTGTAGATTGTTCGCGAGTGGCGGTTTGCCGATATAGTAATATATCGATAATAATGGAGTTGCCGGACTGATATATTTTGTTATATAAAAGACTCATTTGTTCCAGAAAAATAACGATTTATTCAAAAATTATTTACAAGTACTCACATTATTTACCAGTTCTGCACTTGGTCAGAATAGGCAATAATGCGACCGCCAGAAAATATTGGCCTGCGTATGGCGGGCGTCAACTGGGCGAGAGGTGCTTTAGGTGAATTAACAGTAATCTTGGCAGGCTTTCGCTTCAATGGGGCGTTAACAATTAGACGCGCAGGCCTGAAGGGGATGCGGCGCTCCACAAATGGCAGAGTCAATTGAGTCGCTGGGAATGCAGCATTAACTCTATTGATAATCTTTGCAGGTCTTCTCTGTGGCCGAGCAGTCAACTTAGAGGGTCGTCGGTTAGACTGCACGGGACGAAGCATCTGACGGAAGGCGGTAAAACGTTGCACCAGAGGCAATACAAATTGTAGCTGTGGACGTAAGCTAGCCAGGCTTATGGTTGCTGCACTCTGTCCTGAACCATTGGCGTCTACATTCGTGGGCAGCTCCGGCGGACCATAGGTCTCATCTGGAATCTCTTCAACTGCTGGTGGGCCGTAGGTCTCATCAGGTGGCCCATAGACATCGTCGGGTGGTCCGTAAACAAGCTCCGGCTGTTCCTCAGGCGGTCCATAAACAAGTTCCGGCTGTTCCTCCGGTGGTCCATAGGTCAAATCTGGTTGAGGAAAGTCAGCAGGCTGCTCCGTCGGCAGTTCAAATGGTGGATCAGGCGTCAAACCGGCTGGTGGATAAGGAGCCGCCTCTTGTCGCTGTAGAACAGGTCCCGGAAAACGTAATCTAGCCGCTTCACTAGCATCCAGGCAAGCTGCTGCACAAAGGGCCACAAATAAAAAGCTCGCTCCAAACATTTTGCTGTCACAACTGCTGCTGAACTGCTGCTGCCCTCTGTCAACTGTCGACTTTAAATACCCATCATAGACCAAAGCTGACCTTCACCAACAAAGTGTCCAAACTGCCCAAGTGCCCAAGTGCCCAAATTGCCGACAAGGCCAATCGAGCGATGACTTATACGGCAAGCCCAAGCGCTTACGTGCCCAGCCACTATGACTAAACCGTATGCACATGTGAGCTGAAGATTTTATGTGGCTATGGCCAACTTTATTAATAGCTTTTACATGACTTAGATTACAATTTTACCAGCTACGGCGCAGCACCAGGCGCTCCGGCACTGGCGCCTGCCTGCGGCGAGCCTGTGGGAAGCGTTGATAGATTCTGGCGGACTTCTTATCCTCGGGCTGATCGAGGGTCGTGGAGACAGCGATCACGGTACCATCCTCGGCCACAAGCACTTCCTCCTCATCCGCATCTGCGTCGGGCTGTTGCTTCGCATCAACAGGAGTCTCCTCTTCTGGTATGTCGTCCGTTTCGATGGGCTGCTCGGGCTCCGGCTGGGGTTCGGGTAAATCGTCTGGTTGTGGCTGATCATCCCCACTGGTGGGTGGCCCATAGACGCTGTCCGGTGGTCCATAGGTATTATCTGGAGGCAGATACTTCACTTCCGGCTGTGCAGTGGAGCTTGGCAGCTCAAAGGGCACTTCGGGAGTGATGCCAGCCTCTGGGTAGCCGGTGGGCGCAGGACTTGGTGGCGCCTGCTCCTGCCGTGCGAGGCCACGTCGCGGCACAAATCTCTGACGCAGTGGCTCCGCACTGGCCAGGACGGCGAAGCCTAGCAGCAGAAGTGTTGAAGTAGCTTTAGCCATTTTGACGATCGACTCAATTCTGTTCTGAGTTGCCCAAGAGCTCGGCCTATTTATAGGGGCCTCCCGATCAGATCTGTCGTTCATAATTTATGCTCGTCACTTTCGATTGTAGGCCTCCTAGCAGCTGGCTGGCTAGCTAGTTGCTGTTCTCGTTCGCTCGGCACGGCTTTGATTATGTTGGCCCGATCGAATCGGCTTGTGATTTCTGTTTAATGCTGGCTACGTGACCCTTTTCCCAATTTTGGCAGCCAATGCTAACCGGGTGTTTATCGACTGCCGGTGGCGCTGGGCTCTCTCTCTGTGTCTCCTCATTAACACGCCGTCGACAGCGGTTCCAATAGGCTTTAGCTCGTAGTTCAATTCCCCATTTGTTTATTTCGGTGGGTTCTTGGCTATTCATAATTTTACTTAATGGCTTTTATATTCATAACCATTGGCCTTTTCGTAAACGTGTCTGGATAGCCTCGGCATTAGACAAAATTCTCAACTAGGTCAGGTGGCTCTTGCTCATGTTTACATACAAATCTCCTTCAATGAGCTTCTAATATTGTGGATACATTATATTGTGGATATATTATTAAAATTTAGCCATTAAATACTGTAACCAAATATATAATAATATTATATTTATTATATAATATTATATTATTTTTAAATCATATTTTTAAAGCCACCTTATAAAAGTTTTCATTATATCATTGTTTCATCGTCCTTGAGGGTATTAAGAACAGAGTTTAAATTAAATATATGAATTTTCATCTGTTTATTTATTTATTAAACATTTTTCTAAATCGAATGTTTTGTTTACAAAATATGTTACAGAGCATATATGTATATTTATTTTATATGTAATACATTATTTATGTCAAATATAGGATTAAAGCTAATTTATTTTATTATTATTATTTTATTATGTTAATGCTGTGGTGCAAACTTTCGAGTAGGTGGATTGGCAGAGGCTTAGCACCTACTAAAATATAAACTAAATATTGATATGCATCCTGAAACAGTATAGAAATAATAAATATAAATTTATGTATTTAAATAAATATAATTCTATTAGTAACTTCGTTGAACTTTAATATTTATGCAAGCATTTGCTAGGACATAATATCAGAATAGATTATATTTTGAGAAAATATGGTATGCATAGCTAGATACAAAATGTAATATTCTCTAATCGAGATCGTAATTAAAATATTTAAACACATTTAAAAAAAAAAAAGGTTTGAAACAACACAAGAGGAAAATAAGATTTACCAAGCGTTACTAAAATCAGATATCTGATATTAAACAAAGTCCAAAAATTTTCATATTATTATATACATTAATACATATGTATATGTATGTTTACATATCCTTATAAGCAACCAACGAAAGTTAAAAAAAAAAATATGGTTTTATATTAAAAGTGCACCCTTCAGCTTAAAAGCTATCAAGTCATGAAAAGTAAAATAGATCTAATGACTAATTTAAATTTATTCCCTTTAAATATACAACAAATGTTGCATAGAGAAATTTGCTGGCCATATTCAAAATTGTTTACAAGACTTTGAAGTTGTAAATTTTGTTTAACAATGTTTTATTTATATATATTTAATAAAGAGTTAACAAATATTTGGGTCGACGACTCGTGGAGAACATTCGCAACAACAGTCCATCTATTGGATGGTGTAGACCAGAATGGGCTTGGACCGTATGATCTGAGCGGAGCGCAGCTTCTCTGATGCAGGACGGCGCAGGCGCAGACGGCCGTTGCGTGCAAGGATCAGGCTGGCGGGAATGGGCTCTGAAGCTGGATCGGCATCGGCTGGAGCCAGATCTTGGTCTTGGTCCAGATCAGCGGCAGCGTCGGCAGGGGGCGGGCCATAGGTGTTGTCGGGCTCGGCAGGTGGCGGGCCATAGGTGTTGTCCGGCTCGGCGGGTGGAGGACCATAGGTGTTGTCAGGTGGGCCATAGGTCAGATCGGGCTGCGCCTCGGTCTCCGTCTCGGTGGGCAGGTCAAAGGGTATGGCGGGCGTGACACCTGCAGGAGGGTAAGGTGCCGGGGCAGGCGTTGGGGCGGCGTCCACAGCTGGATCCACAGGCGCTGGCGGCGCCTCTTCCTGGCGAGCCAAACGCAAGCGGGATGAGCGATTGCGCAGACGTGCCGGCTCCGCCACAGACACCGCTGCGATGGCAGCCAGGATGAGCAGAGAGCTGGTGAACTTGAAAGCCATGTCGAACTGTTGCTGGTTGCTGTTAGAATGTTGATATCGACTGCGAATCGCAGACTTTTTATACACGAACATTTTGGCAGTCATAAATGGCACGCCGAGGGACGCCCTCAAGATGGTGTCCACATACGTGCACCTACGTGACAATATTTCCTCAAGGGCCCATGTCTAACCCATAACCGTATAACCGCCGACCATTAATTCGATTCGCCACTTAACTCTGAACTTCGCACACTCGATCGCCGCGCACTGCTGCAACCTGTGCTTGAAGCTAATCAAATTGTATTTTGGGCAAATGCTCAACTGTTTTATCCATGTGCTTCAGCTACATTGGGGCAAAAACAATGACAATAATAAAATACAAAATTTTAAATATGTATCATTATATTTTGCAGATATGTACTTTATATAAATATATTATTAACTAGTTAATTAATTATTAATTAGTTAATTAATTATATTCATTTGGTTTAAAATACTACATAGCTTAGTTTAACAAAGGATTACAATTTTAAAAATTAGCTTTATGATTTCCATAAATAATTCGAAATTATTTTTTTTTATCAACTTAATTTTAGGAAGTTAAAATATTCTAATGTTCATTATTCAGATTGACTTTCTTTTGACTTTTTGCATAACAATGTTACAAACTAATTCAAAATTATTTTATTAAGCATAAGAATGATACTTTTAATAAAATATAATTATAAATTCATAGTATACTTATTATTCGTTTTTAGAATTATTATTATTTTTTTTTCAGTCAATTGAAGTTTAATACAAATTTTATCTAAGTTCCAATTTATGAATAATATAATTATGTATATCAATTGTTGTAACAATTTGCCTCTCTCTATCAAATATGTGTTCTTTATATATATATATATATATATATATATATATATATATATATATATATATATATATATATATATATATATATATATATATTTATTTATTTATTTATTTATATATACATATACATATACGTATTTTTAATATTAATTTAAATTTTATTATATATCTATGAAAATTATTTTTCAAGAAAAATATATATTTTATACATCTATTTGTAGATGGGTGGTATAAAATAAATATTTTTCTTGAAAAATAATTTTAATAAATATTGTATATAATAAGAATAAAATTAATATTCTAACAAAATAGAAAAGTAATAAAAAAAAACGTATTTATATTTATTTTCATCATATATATACATCATTGCATATCATATTGCACCTTGAAGTTGAATATAATTGCCCAATAATAAATGAGTATTGAGGCACTGTGCGGCGCCTGCTTATCATGCAGGTCAATGGTTTTTTGGAATACTAGTTTTTTCTTCGTATTTATGTTTTTGTTTTTTTGGAGTGGGCTATCAAATTATTGACTGCTTTATATGCGGAACGTTGCGGAGTGGTCTAGAATTGTTGCAGCTTGGCTGACACGGGGCCAGCAACGAGTATAAAAGCAAAAGCTCCATATACGATCGACAACAAAGCTTAACAGCAACTAAGACGATCATGGCACGTTATCAGCTCACTAGCTCCCTGCTGCTCCTGGCCATCCTGGTGGCTCACGTAGCCGCTGAGGCGCCGCGGCGTTTGCGCTTGAGTCGACAGCGCCAGGCGTTCGCCAGGCAGGAGGTGCAGCCCACGCCATACCCCTCAGCGGATGAGCTGAAGCCGGAGGAGCCCGCGCTCATCTATGGCCCACCACCTTCCACGGATGTGAATGAGCTGCCCGCCGAAGAGGAGCCGCCAGCAAACAGCTTCCAGCCCGATGCCGAAGAAGTGGACATAGAGGAGAACTCGCTGGAGGAGGTGACCACACCATCTGCTCGCCTGCGCAGCAGCCGCCAGAGATTGGCCAAGCTGCAGCTGGCCAAGGCACAGCCCAAGCGCAAGCGTCAGCGCATCGCCCGCCTGGAGGAGTTGCCCGTGGAGGCGGCAGCACCAGCCGTTCCAGTGGCTCCAGTTGCTCCAGCCGTTCCGGTGGCGCCGGTAGCCGCCTTGCCCGCACCACAGCTCTACTATGTGGGAGGCCAACAGCCCTACGTGGTTGCCTACACTGCAGCTAGCCAGCAGCTGGCCTGGTAAACGATCCTGTGATTGATTGATTGATCGATTGTTATTTGCATAAAAATGTTTTGTTTGAAGTCTATTAAACTGCGTTGAACTTAGCTGCATTCAAGTCTTTCTACTTTTCCAGCTCCGTTCTCTTCTTCTTACTTTTTCAGTGGCATTTTCAGTGCTTGACACTTTTGCTCCAGTATCGACTTTTCTCGCAATTCACTCGCCATTAACAAGCGCCCAAGGAGCACTTTTCATTGTTTGCATCCATTTTTATCCATTGCATATTGAAGTTGTTGAGTTTTTGTTGTACATTTTTCTGCATTTTCTCCACTTTTCCTTTGTTCTGGCTCTTTGAATGCATTTTTCATGCTTTGCCTGCTTATAAATTGTTATTTCTATGTGTTTTTCTTTACTATTATTCCGTTTTACCGTTTTTTGTTTGCTGCTTTTAAAAGGCGTTTAAAAGGTTTCAATACTATTGTTGTTCGTCTATTCAAGACTTATATACTAAGTCGAGCATGATGCGCTTCATGCATACATAGATGGGCATATATGTAGTATAGTTGGTGTAACTTGTGCTTTCCACTGCTGCCAATCTCTGTTATACTCGTTCTGGTAGTTGAATATATAGGTATTTGTCTATAATAGTAATCATCATTATCAGATTAAAATATAATAAAATTTAATAATAATATTTAGTTAACTTCAAAGCCGTGGCAAATGGGAAAATTTATATTTCCTATATTCAAATAAAAAACTGAATTTTCATTTCATTTTACAGCTGGAAGCTTGGAAATTCCTAAGTGAATTACTGATAATATTTTTCTTCGACTATTGTCAATATAAAACATTGAAATGATAATAGTTCAGCCAATAGAACCGAAAACTTGAAATTTTAAATAAGTTGTAAGGTTTTTATAATTAGAGCGGGCATTATGTAGCCAGTTTGACCCGACTTTAATGCTGTTACTGGTTTTATAATTACGCGTTATTAATATGCATTTATTGCGCTAATTATAGTTAAAAACATTTCCTTATGTCTATGTAAAATTAAGAATATGATTCAACCGACTAAAGTTAGATATTCAGTGAAAGTTGATCCAATTCCCTTAACAGGGATTATGCATACTGTGCAATAACAAACTTTAAGGTTAAAATAATTTAAATAAGTCATAAAGAGGAAGAAATACATTTTATTATTCAACTGCAATTAAAAAGTTTATGACAAAGATCATTCAAGTTCAAATATATGTACGTTCCTTCATGCAAAATAATTTTGATTAAAAAAAAACCTAAGGTAACGCAAAGATATCATTGACCTCTTTCTTTTGATTTACCATGATATTTCTCATCAGTTTTTCTGAATAAATAGAATATTGTGGAACTTAAATGAGTTTATAATAGAAACATTGAACTGATTTATAATATATTTTATAATTGAGTACAATATGCAGGGTTCAATATTGAATATAGAACTAATGAATATAGAAATCCGACAATATTGCAGTGGATGGTATAAAAGAGGCCAAATAATTAGAAACTAGTATAAATTCTTAGTAAAGTCTCTGAAGCTAACTGCACAGTGGGATAGCTCAGCTACACGCGATAAAAAGCTGAGAACTGGGGGGTGGCAAAGAAAGAAAATTTTATGCACTCCATATATATATATATATATATATATATATATATATATATATATATATATATATATATATATATATATATATATATATATATATATATATAATATACGCTCTATACAGATGCTCACTAAACTCAAAATCTAGGAACAAGTTTTACTAAATAAAACTTATAAAATATATTTACTTTATATATTGATATTGATAGAGTCTTTAAAATTCCCATGCAACATTTGCATGTTGCTTTAATAATAAATATCATTCGTATGATATATTTTCTCTATATGTATAAAACGGGGGAACTCCAAATAGATATAACAAAATCAGTAGCAGAAGAATAAATTTGAATAAAAATTATGTACATATTAATATTGTATAGGGTCTTTATTATGCCCGTACACTCGCATATTGCTTCTATAAAATGGAGATAAAAACCAAAATAGACCCATTCAAATAAGCAGCAGTCCAATAAGTTTTAATAAATAATATTTATTTAATATATATAAATTTATTAATTGCTATTGAGTGGGGGCCTTTACAGTTCCCATGCAATTACAATTTGCATATTGCTTTTGTAATATAATTTGTATTTTATATTTTCTCTATTCATATGTCAAATGGCAATCTTATCGCTTGAAAAATCACAATTCATTCCCCACGATTTTGGTATTTCCTCCCGGTTTTCAAGATAAGTTGCTGAGTAAGCGTACGTACACTCTATACTCACACCCACACACACGCACACACACTTGTGTGGGCCTTAATTAGCCAAGTGTATTGTTATTTTTTGTGTGGTTGGGAAACGAGCTTTAGCCAGCAAAGAAAGATCCCCGCGTCTCCAGAGCACCAACATTCGGCCTCGAGCTGTTTCTCAGTGCCTCGATGGCCTGGTAGTTGAGGAACCAGAATGGCTGATTATCCTGGGGCAGCTGGCTCAGGTAGTTCACATAGTTCTGATCTCCATGCGCATCGATGGGCAAAGCATTCGCCACGGGCCTGACGACACTTGGAGTGGGTGGAGGACTCGCCCCACTGGCGGTGGCTTGGGTGCTGGCCACAGATGGGGCACTGGCAGCAGCAGCAGCACCACCAAAGCGGTTGGCCACGTCAACGGTGGCCGGCACCACACTCGAGGCCACCACGGGCTCATTGCTGCTCACGGCGAACACGAGGGGCACGCCCACTGGCGGCTTCTGCGAGGCGCCGTAGGCCAAGTTGACTGTTTGCGACTGCTGCGGCACTGCATCCGAGCCGAAGCGTGTGGCAATGTCCACGCCAGATATGTTCTCCACGGCCGTGTTCTGGGCGCCGTTATACTTGTCCTTCTGGCTGAGCCCGCCCGGCGGCCGTGCGCCGGCAAAGGATGGCCGCTGAGCCTGGGCCAATTCGATAAATCCAATCAGCATTAGCACGCTTAAAGTCTTCCACATTTTGTTATGTTTACTTAATGCTTCTGGTTTTATTTTCAATTTGCAAATTTCACTTTATCAAAGCTCAAAGATCACAAAAACCGGCACGTCGAGGCGTAGCTGCTTCACTCGCAGCGTCTGGTAAACTGAACAGCCGAACGCGCTTGCAATTATTTAAATAAGCCGTGAGATGCTGAGCTGACTCAACCCAAGCAAGAGACAGAGATAAGTCACTGATAGAGACAGCAATAACAACAGACACAGCAACAGCCACAGAGGTCGACAAAGAGAAAGATGCCAAGCGAGTTGGAGCTGCTTCTCTTTGAGGCTTATCAAGCTGATTGAAGGCCCGTTTGACCCCCACACATGTGAGGCAATATTTCTAAATTTCCCGCTCTCCCTTTCTAGCTCGCTCTCTATGTCACTCTTCTATATACATTTTGAATTAAAAATGATTAGCATGTGAGATCGAACAGCCAATAAATCTCTTTTATAGCTCAAGTCTTGTTAGAGCTGACTAATTTTACAGGGTATAAATGCTTCAATCAGTCTCAACTTAAATATTCCAATTAACAGCTTTTCTATCTTATTGTTGCTAATTCCCTCCACTACTAGGTAATTAAACTCTTATTAAAGCTGAACAATACTCTGGGCTATAAATCTATTACTAATAATAATAACTAGAGGCATTTGTATTTAGCAGCGGATTGGTAGGAAATGTATTTTCTTTATATATTATTTATATATAATAATATTATTAGAGGGAAAAGTATTTACAGAATTACAGGAAGATTAATGAGGAATGCATTTATGAAAAGTTTGGAATAAAAATAAAATAATATACATATATTATATAAGCAATAAAATATTATCAATAAAATCATTTTATATAAATAATAATTTTTTTTATAATATTTTGTATATGATATTATGGAACTTATATTATATTAATATTTATTATATTGTATTATTATATATTTTAATATTATTTATATTTATTATATTATTTATATATATTATATTTATATTATTATTTTATTTTTATTCCAAATATATTCCACACTAATCTGTACTTCCCTCCTTTAATGACATTTTTATAGGGTAGCAATGCTTCGATTCCTGGCAAATTGAACTTGAATTTCTTGTTTACTTGCGGTTTGGGAGATACCCAGCCCAATGTAAGCAACTTCGATTTCGTCTTCGTCTTCGTCAGCATCAGCAGCGTCGTCATGTTTTTATGACGCGTACGCGTGCGCTCCTTAACCGGTTACTTGGGTTGGCCCGCCCCGCAGTTTGGTTTTGGCTCTGAGCGTGGCAGCAATCCCATCCAAACCCCCTTAGTGATTCATAAGGCAGACAGAATGTCTGAGCACGATCTGTGTGAGCTTTTGTTGTGTTTCCTGAACACTTTATTTGCAATTCGCTTACAATCAAAGGTAAATTTCAAATGCTGAATAGTTTATGGTGTATGTGTATGTGTATGTGTGTGAGTCAGTGTGTGTGTGAGTTGTTGATATGCCGTCATCAGGGAGCTTCGTTGAATCGTCATGGTTTTTTGGGTTATGCTGCAGCTGGCATCTGGCTAAATGCGACTGCCCGGTCCAGGCAGCTCGCCAGCAGATGAGCTGGGCGCATCTAGGCGCGTCGCACCACAGAGCGGGCAGCGCTCAGCTTGGCCGGGCGGGCAGCGGCGGCGGCGGCGCGACGATAGGCCACAGGCTGGGCGCGTCGGAGCTTGGCGGCGCGTCTGGCAGCGACGAGGCGGGCCTGCTCGGCGGGCACATCGGCGGCGGCGTCAGCGGCTGGCAGATCGTTGCCAGTGACATCGGGTGGGCCGTAGACCTCATCGGGCACGGCGTTGGGGGCTGCGTCGGGCGGGCCGTAGACGGCATCGGGCGTGGGCTCGGCGGCGGCTGGGGCGGCTGCCTCATCGAAGGGCACCTCTGGCTTCAGTTCATCGGCTGAAGGATATGGCGTGACGGCAGCATCCGCGTCCGCTGGCGCCAGCTCCTGGCGTGCAAAGTAGCGGGAGCGTCCACGGCTCAGGCGCTGCGCCTGGCGCTGGCGCTGCACCTGGCACTCGCTCACGGCCAGCAGGCAGGCGGCGATCACGATCAAGACTTGGAACTTGGCCATATCGATGAGTTGCTGGATGGGTGTGTGTGTGTGTGGTTCTAGGAAGCTGAAGCCGACGACTGCTGCAGTTGGCAGCCAAGCGCGGCTCTTTTATAGCTAGGACAGATCTGGAAACAGTGGAATCGGCTAACCATGTTCCAGCCCCACTCGAATCTGTTTAGTGTGCGGTGCGTCGCATGATCCAAGCATGGACATCCTTTTTTGGCGCACTCTCTGACGTCGGCGGCTCCATTGTGAGCGGCTGCTCGGCGGGTTTATGTGCGTGCGACGTGACAAGAAAGAACTAGCAGAAGAGCTGGAAGTTCGATTTATAGTTCCGCCATTAATCAATCCAAAACCGGAGCGAACACTATTCAATGGAATAACACTCGGAAAGTCTACAGCTGTGGCGCTACCAAAGCGTGTTGTGTTCTAGTTTATTTCGAAATAAATCAGCCTTCAGGAATTCTTAAGTGTGCCACTTATATAAAAGCAAGCGATGAAACTTTTGAAAGGTGTACTTAACCTAAAGAAGTCAATACTTTCTACATTTTGAAACACTATAATATGCTATAGTACTGTATATACATATTGTTTAAATGAAATTATCTAATAACTATTTTAGTTTGTTTAATTTCTCTAATTTTAATGACTAACTAAGTGAAGTTTTCATAATCATTTTTTAAAGTATGAATCGTTAATGACAGGTTTTAACACTGAACTTCAATTGATTTGTTAAAGTAACAAACAACATCCATAGTGATAACATTTTATTGATTAAAAAAAAGATTTCTATAAAAAGTTGATTATGTCAAAATAAAATATAATAATAATAATATTACATTTTTAATATTAGAATGCAGGTCAAATCTCAGCATTTTTTTTTTTTTTTAAAGCAAACGCATATTAATACAATAAATCATATCATTTTTTTAAGCTCGAGGATGTTTTAATACATGGCATCATCATCAAGTCTGCAAAGTGGAAACAAAAATGAAATTTTTGTATAATATACTATGTATATATAAACTCTCAAATTAAAACAATAACAACGATATGGTAAGCCAGGCGTATTAAAAAAAACCAGCCTAAGTAATTTATTTGATCTACGATTTTAAGTAAAGAATTTTCAATTTACAGCTCTGAAACCAACTTGATCAGAGTATCTAACTTTGAAAGTGAACTTAAACATAATAGGGCATAGAGAATAATAATAGTGTAGGTAGGAAGTATTAAAGCTCCTGATATTATCTATTGCTATGATCTAATCTATAATATATAATATATTTTACGTTAATCTGCAGATGTAAAGTTTTACTTTTTGAGCTGTGATATATACAATTAATATTAGAGTCTTCGGTATACAGTATATCATCAGTTGCGCATGGTACGCTCTAGTGTAGATTTATGGCCCGATACGTTAGTTCAATCAAATCGTATTTTTAAGAAGAGTATAATCATACAGTTTTATTTCCTAAACATTGATATATCCAGAATATATTTGATTTTCTAATAATTGATATATCCAGTGTACATTTGATTTTCTAAATGGAACTATACACTAGAGTATATATAGACACCGCCAGTTACTCATGGGATACTAAAGTGGTTATGTACAGGCCCATAGATAAGCAGGATTGAACTATATTTTGAAGAGGAATTTAGTCATGCTGTTTAATTTCCTAATCTATGATATACCTAGTATATCCTTGACTTCCAAAAGGGAAATAGACTCTAGAGTGTGTGTAGTTACGCATGGAACACCCAAGTGTCTATCTATGGCCCGATAGGCTAGTTCGATCGTTATCAGAGGACGTGACGTGCTGCAATAGTTAGTTAATTGCTCATAGCCGCCCTTGGGGTTCACCTCAGTGGCAGTCGTTGATCGCATAATATCGATTATAAGTGTTTAATAAATATTCTAACACTCAAGCCCAGACATAATGCAATTGGCAACAAGTTTTCGCTTTCAATTGATGTGGGCAGCTCGTCAATGGTTGGGCCGGCTGGGCAGCGCCTTAGAGTTGCCGATCACGTAGGAAACGCATTTTATTTCCATAGAACATGGCGACGATTCGGACGTGGTGGACGTGGATAAGCAGTCAAACACCAGAAGCAAAACAAATGCAAAATATTCAAGCAAATATAGATATAAGCATATATCTATATATATATTTCGTTCGGTGTGTATAAAATATAAGTAATAAAATAAATCAATAAATGTGATAGCCGTGCGCCTAACGATGTTCCACGTATGCACATGTCCCGATGTACGACTTGACATGGAACGGAACGAGATGAGACGACTCTCGCTTTCATTGCCAGTTGAACAGACCCGAGACCTGAGACCTTAGAGAGCCCGAGAACATTGTATAAAAACACCGGACGCATCCGCAGCTGAAATCAGTTGGAATATATCGCCTCACTTACGATAGACCTACAGCACAATATGCAGTGGATGTTTGCACTGGTTCTTTGCCTGTGGGCTTTGGGAATCGCCGAGACGCGTCAGATACGCATCAATCGGTATGCGGTCAGCGTTCAGGAGGATGACGTACAGCAGGCGGTGGTGAGAGAGCTGAAGCCCACGCCCACGCCCACACCATATCCAGCGGCTGGCTTTAGGCCGGAGGGACGCGCCTTTTGGCTGCCGGGCGAAGCCGATGCCGCGGTGCAGCCCACTGCGGGCTCAGACTTGGGCACAACTATAACGGAACTGCCGCTGGATGATGCGATAGCCAGCACCACGGAAGCTCTCGATTTGAGTACGACAACAGCAGTGGACTCGCTAGATGCCACCACCACGGCTGCACCCATTGAAGCCCGCTCAGGCCGCGCCTTTGCCGGCGCCCCCTATCCAGCCGCCGGCTATCGACCAAGTCGCGCTTTCCTGCTGCCCACCGAGCTGAAGCAGCAGCAGCAGCAGCAGCAACAGCAGCAATTAGATGCTGGCAATGTGACTGAGACAGCTGCAGCGGACGACACCAATGCCAATCATCCAGTGTGTGGTGTCAGCACAAATCCGCTGAAACCCACGCCAGAGCCTGGCTCAAAGGATGAGCCCGATGCCGAAAATGTGCTCTTCACCGCCAGCCTGGGTCCAGCTGTGCTGGTGGCCAGAGCACCAGCATCCAATGGTGTGCCTGTGGCCATTCCACTGCGCTCTCAGCCGCTGATCCAGGCGCCCAGGCGAGGATTTGTCTACACCACGCACGTGGAGCAGCGCTGGTGAGCAGGCCTCGACTGCATCTCTCGTATTATTACATTGTTGAACAGTTTAGTCATAAGAAATCCATGTTGTGTTTTATGTTTTAATCAAGGTGAAATATATTCGAATTCATTTGTATTTTATAAATGTTTATAAATGTTTATGAATTCATCAGCCTGGGAGGTTTGCAAAGTTTGGTCACGAAATGTGTAACGCAAAGAAGGAAATATCTATGACCTCATAAAGTCTATATAGAAATTCCTAATGTATATCATTAGCCGTAGTGGTGTGCTCACATCCGTTTGTTTGCGTATACAAATTTTTAATTATATATGTAAATATGTATGTGTGCGTGAGTGTGTATATTGTGTATAGTATAAGAATATATACTTTCCGAAATGGTCAAATAATTTAATATATGTACATAATCAAATTTATCTATAAATGGATGTTTAGGCAAATGAAAGGGAATGAGTCAGAGTAGGAAGTAGGGAAAGGAATACCATAAGAAGCATCACATAAACAGTGAGAGAGCGTGAAAGCAAGAGGAATAATAAGTGAAATAATCAATGGGAAAGTGAGAGATGAAGTGGAACAATGAAAAAGAGATGAAGAAGAAGGATAGAGCAACAGAATTAGTAATAAGACTTAGAGAGGGAGAGAGGCATAGAGACAGAGGGAGAGAGAGTGATAGGTCAAGTCAAGGGGTCAAGCGGTATGAGAGAGAGAGAGGCAGGATGAGAGATAGAAAAACTATTAGTATAGCTGAGTTAATGAGCTATAGAAAAAAAAGCTATAGAAAAACTATTAGTATAGCTGAGTTAATGAGCTATACTAATAGTTTTTCTATCTCATAATCAAGAAAAAAATAAATATATTCTTTAATATATAAGAATTGAGTAGAAGAGCAATATTTGATAGAAGCGGGAAGTTCATTTAAAAATATTTACACAAAGAGCGATCAAACAAGATGAGTCGTATATTCGATAATTTGATTGCAGTAGCTCTTTAATTAATTGATAATTGGTAATTGATAATCCATCTGCATTGAAAAAGACTAAAGGTGTCAATATAATTAATTCAAGCTTATTATTTGTTTTCAACTCGAATTGCATCAGGAAGGCTTTTGTGAGAGATGAAGCGTAAGAGCGATATTTTACATCTTAAGGAAACGAAAGCGATATATGATCTGATGAAAATATACTTGCCGTTACAATCAACATTGAAAAAGAGCCAGAAGAGTCGATGCGGTGTCAGCACTCGAGGCAATATTTATGGAGTACCATTAACACATATTGAACTGAGTCATACATGCGATGCAGAGACCGATGCAGACCGTCAGAGCGTTTGAATGATGAATGATTCCACTCACAAAAGCATGAATGTAGTTTCAATTAATCAGAAACTAGGCAATATGAGAAATGTCTTTGTTCTCCAATCTTAGAAAACTAGAATTGCTGTTCCATGTTTCGCTGATCTGATAGTGCCCTAATTTCCAAAAATAGAACTATTTTATATCTTTAGTCTCCTCTGCTCCTTCAGCTTCGCTTTTTCCGCTGCTTAATATTACTCCCCATATATGCAATGCACAAATGCAAATACTGGAGCTTATCCCATATCAGTTATTCATCATTTTTATTAAATTTCCTTCTTAAAACTAAATTAGAACTCGTAACACTTTCGATTATCGTATTCAACATAAAAACAAAGCTTTAACTCGACCGCAGTGCTGGGGGAAGTGCCTGCCCGGCCATCGATAGTCAACGCAAATTGTGCACGTAATTGACAATCAGTGGATCATCGAGGCTGGTGGGCACGATTTCCACCGAATGCACCACCGGCTGCAAGTGGACATCGCTGTCGATGTGCGTGAAGCTGCCCAGCTGCAGTT